AGAAGCTCGCCAAGCTATTCGACAACTCTCTACCGCAAAGGCACCTGGGATCGACGAACTGCCGAATGAGCTGATGAGGAAATGCTCGGCTTCTTTTGATCCCACGCATCCTTGAGCTGATGCCGGCGCTGGCAGACGGCCAGCAGTTCCCTCTCCCCCATTTGCAGGGAGTGTTCTTTTTCTTTTTTTTCAGGGAGTGGTCACTCTTGTCCATAAGACAGGAGAAAAAAACGAGGTGAGAAACAAGCGGTCAATTACTTTGACTACCTCCTTCTATACAATCATATCAAGGATGCTGTCCAACCTCATACAATCTGTGTTGCCAATGTTAAACCATCCCGACCAGACTGGTTTTCTTAAAGGGAGACAAATTCTTGATACAATTATGGCGGTCTGTCAGGGTATCGACCTCACAAATGACACCCAGGAACAAGTTGGCGTACTGTTACTCGACTTCGAAAAAGCCTACGACCGTGTAAATTGGAAATTTTTGTTTTTGCTGTTGGAAAGATTGGACTTCGGGAAAAAGAAAATTGTTTCTTGGGTAAGAGCTTTGTTTAGGGGGCTACAACTAGGCTGCTCGTAAATGGAAAATTGTATGAACCTTTCCATATTACGAGATCGGTTAGACAGGGGTGTCCTCTAGCTCCCCTAGCTCCCTATCTGTACATTCTCTGCATGGAAGCATTGCATGCAATGATTAGAGCGGATCCTAGGATAGCAGGGAGATATACCCCCGACAATGAGGCAAAAGGACAGTCCTTCGCAGATGACCCCACCATTTGCCTCCTTTTGCAAGATGAGGTTCTCAACGCTCTGAAAGAGACCACCCTACTCTTTGGACAAGTGTCTGAAGCCAAGGTGAATTGGCAAAAAAACATCTTTCTCATTCTGCAGCATGCACCCCCTCCCCTCCATTGGGGAGTGCAAGTTGCTGATCCCCAAGACTCCCAAAGACTGTTGGGCTTCCATGTGAATTTTATGAGGGAACTAGGTAGATTGCCCGAACAGTTGCTGAAAGCAGTTCTTTCCCCTTTTACAAACTGGGTCGAAGTAAAAGGCGTCGCGCTCTATATGGGAGAGTGCTCACAATCAATAATGCAGTTTTCTCCCAGATATGGTATGAGCATGCTTTGTGCTCCCTTCCGGACACGGTCTATAAGAAAATCAAGGAAGCCGCTGCCAACTATCTGTGGAAGGAGAAAATAGGTGAGCAAACCTTCGCGGAAGAAGGTTATCCAAAAAAGGTAGCTTGGAACAAGGTTATCCAAAAAAGGAAGAATGGAGGCCTCGGGGTGCTTGATCCTCGGCTTCAGATCCAGGCCCTGCTCAATAAGTGACCACTCAAACTGCTCTTGGCGGAAGAAACGGCAACATGGAAATCACTCACACTATGTTTGCTGGCAAGAGACTTCCATCTCCCGGCGAACTCTCAGCTCGTGTACTTAGCCCTCTTTACCGAAGCTTGCTGCAGAAAACGGGTTACATCGACGATCTGGAGGGACGTGATTCGAGCTTGGGCGAAGATAAAACCACAGAGACAGACTCCAATACGTCAGTATACGATAGAATCCTGTCACAACCACTTTTTGAAAACCCCTGCTTGCTGGACTCACAAAGCTTGCCTTTCCCCATGACGGGCCAAAAGGATTTTGCATGCTCATGGATGGCCAGAGGAATAGCAACTTTGGCTCATCTATGGGACGAACAACACAACATAATAAATAGTTACGGCAATTAATACAATTTTCTATCACCATCAGTAGTATCATCATCATCATCATAGTCACCACATGAGAGACGCTGAGGCTGGTTCTCAGCAAGTTCTGTTCGGTTTCTCCGGGCAGACTGTGAGGACCCCGGCCTCATTCCTCTTATTGGTATTAAAAAAAAAAAAAAAAAAAAAAAAAAAAAAAAAAAAAAGATGGGAAAACTCTGCTGATGTGCAGGACTTTTTGGCTGGGCTAACACCACTGGCGACAGAACCTCCAAAACCTGCTAGCTGTGATCCCACCTAAGCGGGACTCTGCAGTCCGAAACAAGTTGTTTTTTGCCAGGCACCTGGGTCAAGGATGCTCAATTCTCTGAACCGGATAGATTATGGAAATCGGAATAGCAAGTCTCGCAGCGAGAATGGGAAATGATGTGTTGGGAGGTCGCAAATGGACACCGAGGGCTTGGCTCGCCGGTGGCAAAGCTATCTGTGGCCCCAATTTGCTCTGATCTGCAAGGATTAGTGCCGGTCTGTGTCTTTCCGATAAGGTGCTCATGTCGAATATCTTCCCAACATGCTAAATGCACCGTCTGTGGACTTGGCGCTGGACCCTAGAGACTGGTGCTGGCAAGACCCGAGAATGGAATGGGCCTCGTTAAACCTGCCTCAGCACACAGAGCGACTGGCCTATGCCATGCTCCTGCCCCCGACTGACGTGCATTGGACAGTGCTTGCCAAATGGAGGCGTTTAGGATATGCAGTGCAAATTGAAAGTCTGCCTCTCTTCTGGAAGCTTTTGTCCTCGCTCGCTGTAGCAAAACATGCCGACCTGCTTTGGCAGATCACCCATGATGCTATCCCTACAGCGCAAATGATGCCTTTCCGCCAAGAGTGCAACCATGGCTGCGTGGTAGAGGATGCACGGCACATTTGGGTTACCTGCAAGCATGTGAGAGCACTGTGGGCAAAATGGAAAAATGAGAGTGTTACACCGCCTCACTGGGGAGATTTGTGGACAAAGGGAGGAATACTGTTAGCAAGCTTAGTCGTGCACCTCCCAAAACGCAAAGCATGTGTACGAGACTCTTCGAGCAACGATGCTGTGGGCCATTTGGAGGCAGAGAAATGATGCGGTCAGAAACGAGGGTTCACCATCGCTTCAACAACTTCTCTACTACGTACGCAAGCCTCGTCGACATATTATCTGTCTGGACTGGGCAAAAAAGATTAAAACGGCAACTCCCCTTCAAGCTGGGCTCAAGTGGTTCAAGGAAAGGTGGGCTGCATGCCCCTCTATGGTGACAATTGACTCATGCACAGGAGACAATGCCATCTCTTTTGGTCCCTTTCTCCAGCAGCCGCCGTGATCAGCATTCGATGTTTTTCCCTCCCTTTGCCTCAGGGGTTTGATTTTTTCTTTTTTCTGATGATTTGTCTTTTATGTTTTTCCTTTTTTGTGAAATTGGTGATGTGTTTGCTGTTTTTTTAGCAAGTTTTTTGAAAGGTTATCTTTTCTTCTTCTTTTTTTTTTTTCTTTGAAAGGTTTTCTTTCGGGAGCATCCTTTTTGTTTCGGTAGGTTTTCTGTGATTCTTTTTCACAGGGGACAGGCTTCGCTTGCTGGGTGCACTCCGAGGCCCTGCAGCCCCTGACACGGAAACCTCTATCTCACTTTGTATGCTTGCCTTGGGCACTGGGCCCTGATAATAAAGGGATTAAAAAAAAAAAAGAAAAAAAAAAAACGTTTTCAATTTTTCATCGAGAAGAGCATGCAAAAAAAAGGCTCTTGCAAATGCCCCCAACGCCCCAATCAATAAGCTCACGCCAGAAATCCCTATTTAGCACTTACTATATATTATATAATTGTGCTGGGCCTCAACATGAGGGTCCGGACCAAGACGTCCATACAGACATCCCGGACGACCAACGTGCCCGACATCCAGGCTGGCTGCATAGATATATTCTTCTTTAAACTCGGAGTGCAGAGCATTCCCGATAAACAGTAGGGATAGGGGGTTGCACTAGGAGTACTGACCCAAGGATGGGATGGGAGGTAACTTCGTCTTCTCAGAGCAACCATGGCTGACCCCTCGCAGTAACAAGCGTGTGCCCGGTAACTGGCCTCTACAATACCCTGGACTTCATTTTTATTGATCTAAAAAAAAAAAAAAAAAAAAATCAACTTTCAAGATAAGGGCCTAGTTGCACTACATGCCATCGGCCAAAACTGTGAATGAATCTGAACAGGGAGTCTGTCCTCATGCATTCAAAATGTTGGCGGATGTTGCCAACCACTCAGTCTGCCTCCCGACTTATTGGGAGTTGTGACGAGGTCTGAATCAACAGGCCTAGCTCAGTTGATACGCCCATGGACTGTTGAAATACAGACTGGCATTCAAATTCAACCAGATCATCCAGATGAACATAATAAAACACCAGCCATTTATCTCCCACGCACCTTGCGCACTGCCCCGGCTTTCGGGGGTCTGCAGCCAGATGAAAATGGCTGGCAGCGCCCACCAAAACGAGGCCCGTGCCGTTTCGTTTATGGCACGTAGGCCGTCAGTGTGGCTGTGTAGGGGTGAGCGTGGTTGGGTACACCGTGTTGCGGGATCTCCGTGCTGGGGTGGGGCGAAGTGCTCATCTTGGGGCTTCACTTTCACCCCAGCCCACCTAGCCTTGTGGTTAGGCATTAGCCCGCCAAGCCGTTGGTTGTGTGTTCGAGTCTTATATTTGGATTACAAGTTTGTAGCCCCTGGCAAACATCCCCTGACAAACGGCCTGCGTGCCAAAAACGAGTGA